ACAGAATTTTTGAAAACATTCTAGGATCACTTCCGTGAAAATTTTTATTGTTTTCGAATTCATAAAATTGCTTCAACTCCAAAATCGTCGTATTCTCTTCGTTTCAAGGTCTTCTATCGCATGTTTGCCTCATTTACTGAAATTGGACCTGAGAATCTCATAACTATGGACTACGTCAACGGTGGAATCTCATATCTTGTGGTCTGCTTTGGTGGAATCGGAGTTGGTCTTCTTGTTGCACTATTTGCAAGTTTTATCACAAAGTAAGCTTTAAAAGAATGACTATTTTTCAACTATTAAACTTTAAGTCTAACGTTCTCCCAAATGAGAAGCGTTCTTTTAATTTTTAGAAGAGGACCAGTTCTCGCACCTGCTTAATTCAAGACCATTTTATCTCATGAAAATCAGATAGAATCGAACCAACTATTTAGCATACTTGCAAAACATTCTGGGATCTTTCTTGATCTTTCTTAAACCTCTTTATGCTGGCTGTTACAAGCACCAAGTATAAAATAGCTCCATATAAAGAATGTGGATAAAGACGAGAACAGCGGTTGATGAGCAAATATTCTTTCTTGAAGGAACACAATGCACTGAGACTCCTTGTCCTTTACCAAAGCTGAGCGTCAATCACTGCGAGAACTAGTCCCAAAAGATAATCTTTTGTTTAGATCTTCTTGAAGTTTTTATCTCGTTCACCAACTTATGAATTTTTTGCTTCTTCTTAATATATCTGACTCTACAAGAAAATAGGCTTCTAAAAAAATGCGGAAGAAAGAGAATTTCAGGTATACTCATCACGCCGAAGTTACTGTGCTCAATCCGGTATTTGTGATTGCGCTGCCTTTTCTATCCTACTTGGTCTCGGAAATGTTCGGCTTATCGAGTATCATGGCGTAAGATTTTGGTTTAACTACAATTTAAAATTGATATTTTTCGTATATCATTAATTTTCCAAATTCAGTATAGTATTTTGTGGAGCTGCTATGAAGCAATATGTAAAAGTAAACGTGCCGGAGCAGAACTTACTAGCAATCAATTATTTTATAAAGGTTAGTGAGAAATGGGATCCTTGTCCATTTCCTCAAAGTTGGGAAGGGGTTTTTCTGTACGCGACGCACCGCTACGCAAGAGTTCTACGAATTCTTTTCTTGCGAAAATCAATAGGAGCAATATTTAGGTCTTGTCTATGTGCTCCGAAACCGTGATCTTCGTTTTTCTTGGGCTTTCAACGGTCTCATCTGATCACCATTGGGATACACCATTCATCGTTCTCACTACCGTATTCTGTCTCATCTACCGTACTCTAGGAGTAGTTGTAATGTGCTTTGTACTGAATAAGTACCGTCTGAATAAGTTCTCAAAGGTTTGTGAAGACCTTTTTCCCGCGTAAAAAAAA